TATTATTATTATTATTATTATTATTATTATTATTATTATTATTATTAACAACAAAGCCATGAAGGCTTAAACATCAAAGTGGATCAAACTCTTCACAGGAAAGATCTTCTCATATTTCCGACGTTGGATTATGTACATAAAATGTCCAGAAAAAGGCAGAAAACTATAGATGACAGATCAATATTTCTGTTTGTGATGTTTTCTTTTGCATTTGTCTGTAATTACCATTGTGGCCTGTAGGGGGCACGAGAGAGCTGGTGTCTGGCCTCCAGCTGTTGGCTGTCCAGATGTTTTCCCCTGATTTTGCCTATCTGATAACACACTGCTCACACACTCGGTAAATAAGAGGTTAAGCCTTGTGTGTATTTAGTTTTAAATCCAGAAAGCAAATATTTTTTGTCTCTGTTCTAAATTTTGGATGTTTTTAGGGGAGTTTACTGACACGTGACTGCTTTTAGGTCAACATTGTTCTTTTAATTGTGCCATATCCATAAATATAGGCTCACTGCTCAGGATTTAAGCAGGTTTTCTGCGTATTATGAGATCATTACAAGCTAAAAAAGGCCTTTATCAAACGCCTGCGGGGGATATTCAAACACGAACTGAGTCACACTGATGACGCACACTTAACACGTGTCATCCAACTGTGAAGTCCAGCACCAGAAATAATGATGATCTCATTATTTTTTTTACATCTTTTCAGACAGTCTGAGAGGAAATAACACGATAAGTGGGAAGTTAGTGGGACTGATAACAGCTCAGTGAGGGGAAGATTCATCTGAAGAAAGAATGTGAGTTAAAAAAAACAGAGACAATATGACGATATTCAGCTAAAAGGAAAAAAAAAAGGAAGATTTTACCGTGAAATGCTATAATATCTGTAAACACAACTAAAAATACAACACGGAATAAAATATATCATTAAGCACAACAGAAAACAATCAAATTATGACTTGTAACATCTAAGAAAATACAATAATAATGACAAAAATGTTGGAAAAAGCTGCATATTTTCCAGAAAACAAAAAGTAAAAGTAACTAAATGAATGAACACAGCTAGATTATTTAATATCATTCAAATATTTCGCCTTTAAAAAGTGTTTTTCTGGTTTTACGCCTTCAGTCTAATAGCTGCTGTGCGTTTTTCTGTTAATAATGCTGAGGAAACACGATTATTTGATATCATTAAAATATTTCAGCTTTAAAACATGTTTTTCTGTTACACGTGAGGTTTAAACTGAATCTGCAGCAGCATCCGCGGGCGTCTCGATGAGGAGCGTGACCTCTGACCCCGCCCACCGCCGCCGGGCAAAGACAACACCGAATAACGTCACGCGTTTATTTACAGGTCTGAGGGGCCGATATTCGTATTTAGATGCTGCTGTCAAATTCCATCCTCAAATAGCTCGGAGGGAAAAGTGTTTTGGAACATAAACACGTGTGTTTTTCTCAGCTTTTCCCACCCAGATTGAGTCTGTCGCCTTTTTTTTTAGATGCTTAACTAAACAATTAAATTGTTTAATTGGTTTGAGTTCCTCAAATGAATAAGATAGATTGAACTGGTTGTTAGTATTTTTCTTTAATTTTAAAGTTTCTCACTGTAAACACGCAGAATAAAGCAGACCCTCTCCATACTCAGTATCTTTTTAATATAAATTCAACATTCAACAGAAGCTGTGAGCTGCCGGCCGGGTCAGAAAGGCCCGACTGACTGCTGGATTTACTCATAAAGCAGTTTAGAAACGGCCCAAATGGAGAAAGACGCCACAAGAGGAACACATGTGACGAAGGATCAGTAAGGAGGAAAAATACGCTTGGTTTAAAGGAAACATATTATACCCTATTTCAACAAGTTAAACTAGTTCCCTGGTGTCCTAATGTAATGTCTGTGACAAGCTTTGGTCAAAATCCCATAAGGATGAAGCCCAATAGCAGTTCAGTCCCCCTGCCTAACCCTAACCCTAACCCTAACCCCAACCCAAAACAGCCCCGTTCAGAGCGCTCGCTTTGGAGTGCCTGTCTCTTTAAATGCAAACGAGACACAGGCAATCCACCCACTTCTTCCGGGAGGTGTGCCCACGTCGGCACGCTAACGCTACCATGCTAACGCTACCATGCTAACGCTACCATGCTAACGCTCACGCTACCAGGACGTCTGCCACAGATAGGCGGAGTAAGCTGAGGTGGGAAACCTTCTACAACAACAGCTCATGTTTAATAACCATTAATGCAGAATTACTTTACTCAATTGAACATTTTTAACCCCTTTAAAGCCTCATCGACGAAAAATAGGAAGAATATTGGATTTTGTAGTCTGAAGTCTTTCTTTGGCCCCTCAACAACATATGAAGAAAAAAAAAACAGAAATTATTTTGATCAAATTAGCGTGCAATAAGTCAAAAATATATTTTTGTGTAGTATTCTACTGGCTGTTATCAGGTATATCTGAATGTGTACAACAGGGGTTTGAGCAAAGCTTTTACCACTGAATGATGCAAAAAGTCTCAGATCCAAAAGACTTCAGAAATCAAATCATATTATGTATGTGCAATTTAAAAAACTCTACAGTTAAGCATTGCTAATATGTGCTAGCTGACGTTTAGCATGTTAGCCTTATATAGCGTTAGTATTAGCGAACATAGCTGTATAGATGAGACAAAACCCTGCCTATGAGCCCAACGAAGGTCTATTAATTACCAGACTGTTTTTTTTTATTTTTACACAATAAACTGGTCATAATAATTTTATGTGGTGATGTTGTGAGTAAGAAAAAAACTTTTTTTCCTTTTTTTTACTGGCATTAAAGCGTATAAAGCCGTGACCCACCTGTCCTGGAGGATGGGCCTCTGCCACTCCTCGATGCGTTCCTCCCACTGTGTGTAGTGCGTTAGTGCGTGGTGGCAGAGCGAGGGGCAGGCGTCCCCTTTGCTCCCGAAAAAACGGGCGTACCTCCTTCAATCAGAGGAAAAACAGACTGGTTAGGACAGGAACCAGTAGATCCTCTTTGGACCTGAACGCGCCACTAAACAGAATTAATTAGTGATGAGACCTGGAGGCTTTTACTCTGTAATCTGAGAGGTTATAGAGCCAAACATGTTAATGTGGTTAAAACTCCAGCATGAAGAAGGTCTTTGGCCTAAATAATGTTTTTATTGTTATCAATATTTACAGTTTTACTAAAAAAGAAATGACAAAAATGATAATTAACATATTTTTTCTGATTAAAATGTCTAATTCTGTTTATTTCCTGTCATTCCTTAGAAGAAAAGTGAGTTTTGGTGGTTTTAGTCTTTACAAAGGTAACTGAAATGGACAAAATATTCTACAAATTCTCCATAAAACCTTCAATAAGACATAAAAAACTGAGTTTTGGTGGTTTTAGTCTTTCACCTCAGAGGTTACAGAGCCAAACATGTTAATGTGGTTAAAACTCCAGCATGAAGAAGCTCTTTGGCCTAAA